GCGCGGCCAGAAGCTGCCGCCCCGTTTCAGGCCCCACCCTCAACGAGCAGGGCGAGATCGACACGCTCGCTCACCTGTGGGCGCGCCAACTTTCCGCCGACCTCGAGCGCCTCTCATCGCGCCCCGCGGGCGAAACTCTGCGCGAGGCGCGGCGCCCGCTGACGATGCAAAAAGTTGCGGGGCGACGATCAGATCCGAGAAGCATTCGCCACGCGTGATATCCGAGCGCTAAGCGCCAGCTTCTGCATGGACCACTGGGCCCCTCTCGAGCCCAACGAGATCCGAGAGGCACCCCCTTTTCCCGAGTAATGCTTGCGGAGACCGACAGTGATGAGGAGTACTTGAGGCCCTTCCGATGCCACCTCCGCGGGCGTGGCCAGCATTGCAACACCAGTAGACAGCTCGTTACACATCAGATAAGGAGTAGAGCCGACGAACATGGGAAGCCACAGCCACTTACTACGCTACAGTACGACAACAAGTGCATAGCATACCAACCTACTTTACCACAAACGAAGCATGCGCTACGACATATACGGCACTCTTGGCGACATGGTAGGTGATTGCGGAACGCGCGCATCATGTGCACAGCTGAACGCCATCGTCAGCCACCCCTACTTGGATTCCGCATGCCTAAATGAATTGCGTGGCCCTGCTACACTACGATAGCATATCCTCACTCACCTTCCCCCGTCGCCATCGGGCTTCTCGCTCATGCGGGTTCAGCGCAGAGAAGGGCCCGGGCCCCCGCGCAGTGCCGGGAGGAGTTCCAGCGCCTGCGCCACTTGCAGCGCGACACCAGCGAGCCATAAAGGACGCCCTTTGCGCTCGAAGAGCGCTCCCAAGAGCCACGGACATGCCCTGCGCGGCGCCCAGGCTACGCCAGCCACGGCCACGACGATTTCGACCAGCTCGACAGCGCAGGCCAGCGCAAGCAGAACCGCCACGACCAGCACCTGTCAGCGCCCTGCTGGCGGCGGCGACGCCAACGCTCTCAGCACCCCCTCGACGCGAGGATGGCGGCGGCAGCAGCAGTAGCGGAGATGGGCGCGCAGACCAAACCAGTGGATGCCAAGCCGCTAGGAGGCCCGAAGAGAGCACAGCGGCGCCTCCACCTGAGCCCCTCCCAGGACTCGCAAGGATCCGGGCCGAGCTCCGCGCGGCCCCGCGCGGGGAGGGCCCCGCCGCTAGCCATGGCCAGCCTCCAGGGGCCGCCAGCGCACGGGCGCGACTGGCCTCGGGAAGAGGATGGGCGGCGTCGAGGGCGAGGTGAGCGACCGCGAGAAGGCCAACCCCCGCAGCGACGAGGAGCGCGACGGAGACGTAAAGGGGAGCGCCCATCCAAGACGCGCAGCAGCAAGGACAAGAGTTTAGTGGCATTACACTGGTCGATACTGGAGCTGGCCCTCCAGACGGCGCACGCACAAGGGACGAATGGCCACGTCGGCGCCCATCGACGCGCGCACTACGCCAGCCGCGCATCCCACGGCCGCGAAGATCAGCGCAGAGGTGGAGGCTACAAAGCGACGCTCGACACGCCGCGCACCCAGGGGGGCGAGGGCAAGCAGATGATGAAGGAGACCGGACCCCCTTCGGCGAGCATGGGTCTCGCGACCTTGGAGGGCTTGATGCGGCGCGACATCGGGGGCGCAGCCAAGCGCGATCCGGAGGCGCACTGCGGCAAGTGCCAGCCCGGGGGCGAGATCATCGAACCAGAAGTGGACAACGGCGACCTCGAGCCGTAGATTAGTTTCACGGGGCCGGGGCCATGCTACGGCGCGCAAGGGGCGAAGGTCACTGTGGGCGCGCCCACAGGGGAGGGACACGGGCTCATCCAGAGGGCCTTCAAGAACGAGGACACCGCAGTGCATCACAAAGGAGTAGCTCCAGCGGGCTGGCTGGAGCTGGGGGGCGAAGTGGGCCACTGGCTGGGGGCGATATCGGAAGGTCTTTAGAAACTGGGCGCCAGCCACATCACCCACCTGTCCATCGAGTCGTGCGATTCGTAAGCGGCGGTATGATGCCAGGCTCGCCGCCAGCTCCCGCTTCCCCTGGTTCGGACAGGGGCGCTGCGCTCCCATGTCCGCAGGCCACCGACCCGGATAGTTTCGAGGCCAACGGAGCGGCCGTAGCAGATTCAGTTCGGGCGTAGCCCGAATTTGTTTTCGGGCGTAGCCCGCATTTGTTTCTCGCGAGGTAAACTGAACTGAACAGACTCGTCGCACCCGTTACGCGATGGTTTTATTCTCGGCCGCTGAGGGCGCAACCGATGGCGCAACCGATGAGAGACGATTTCGTTCTCGGCCGCCGAAGGCACAATCTATGGCGCAACTGTTAGGAGACGGTTTCATTCTCGGCCGCCGAGGCCGCAACCGATGGCGCAACCGATCGGCGACGGTTTTATTCTCGGCCGCCGAGGGCGCAACCGATGGCACAACGGATGAGAGACGGTTTTATTCTCGGCCGCCGAGGGCGCAACCTATGGCACAACCGATGAGGG